TTATTATTATTATTACAACTACTACATTAATTCACCCTATCTAATTAACAATAAAATATTTCATTGCACCTTTTTAGGGTTAATTAAGACAAAAACTGTTAATATTTTATATTTATTGATTAATAATTATATTAATTAATTATATTATATAATAGTTATTGTTAAAAGTAATAATTATATTTTGCACTAGATAATATATGAAAGTTACATAAATATAAAAAATTATTGTAAAGTTTTTGTTCAGGTTATTTATTCTAAAACCAATATTATATATTTTATTTGACAGGCTGATGCTTGCGAGCGTAACGGAGCGAACGTAGCGAGGGAAGCGGAGCGAACGTAGCGAGGGAAGCGGAGCGACCGAGCGAAGTGAGAGCCCCCGCGGTACGGTACGGGGTATTTAAGTAAATTAATACCTTGTAAGGTTATAGTATAAATACATGGTGTATTGATGTATTTGCGACTATTGAGAATAATAAAGATCACTCGGCCGCCGTGGACGTAGGCATATTGTCGAACCACGTAAATCTTGTGATTTTACTTTCTCGTTTTTAATTCGTATGCTATATTGTCATCTACTCTCAACAGTATTTTTAAATAAATTAATTTATTTTAGTGTTATAGTGAAATTTCTTAAAATCTCATAAGTAATTGTTATAATAAATATAATATTTTGCAGCTAATTAATTGGTAATGATCTCTTAAAATTACAAAAACTACATTATTCATTATAATTTAAGCAATTGATATAGTGTTTCATATGCAATCAAATAGTTATATACTATTTATTTTAATCAATCATCAAATTTTAAAACATAACACCATTATCTAACTTATAATTTTAATAATATATACATAAATATAACTATAATACTATATGTTTAAAATATAATACCATTATTTACCTTATAACTTTAGTATTATATATATAACTTATAATATTCTATTTACATCTATGCAAATGCACATGGTCAAATACTAATAACTATAAAAACAACATTTTATTAAAAAATTCAAATGACACAAAGCAATCTCAGCCCTCAACACATCAAAGAAAAAACACAAACTCTCAAAACACCAAACCAACAATATTAATATCATCACCAAACTTCAAATTCTTTGTTGTACTATTTAATTGGAGGCACAAAAACCCTAAGCTCCTCGATTAACGCTTTCAAACCTTCATACGACGAACCACCCTCTGCCACGGCCCTCTTCGCCATCTCCCTCAAATCCTTGGCCCGCCGCCTCATCTCCTCGTCTGCCATTACTTTTTGCACGGCCGCCCTCACCGCCTCCCGCCCGACTCCTTCAATCCCCACCCTCTCCCATTTCTTGCTCCCCACCGGTACCCCTACCTGAAGCACCTCTGTCACCAGCTTCTCGTTATAAAACTGCTCCGCAAATGCTGGCCACGTCACCATCGGCACCCCTGCGCACACCCCCTCCAACGTCGAGTTCCACCCGCAGTGCGTCACAAACGCCCCCACGGCCTCATGCCCCAAAATTGTCACCTGTGGGGCCCATCCCCTTATCACAAGCCCTTTCCCTCTCGTCCGCTCCTCAAACCCCTCCGGCAGCAAATCCCCTTCTCCTCCGTTCCCCTGCCTCAACCCCCATATGAAGTCGTGGCCCGATGACTCGAGTCCCATGGCAATCTCGTGCAATTGTCCCCGCGTGAACGTGACCATGCTCCCGAAACACACGTACACGATCGAGCTGGGGTTCTTCGAGTCGAGCCACACGAGGCACTCGTGCTCATCGATATCCGACTCTTTTCCCCTCCGCGACTTCTCCCTATCCCCTTCGTCGCTACACGGTAGGAGCAGCGGGCCCACATGCCATGCCTTCCACCCCAGCACATTCGTGTAGTGATCGGCGTAATCCGGCTCGAGCTCGTAGAAGCTATTGACGATGACACCGAAGCTCTCCCTATCTGTTTCCCTCATCCTCTCCCTCTCTCTCGAGAACTGATTATTCTCGTCCATGGATGGAACCTGGCTCCGGACAAACGTCAGCTCGTGTGGGAGGCCGGGAAGGACAAAAGCGTCAGAGTCGGAAGATAGGCTTTTGTGCGGCTCGTGGATGCACATATGCTCGAAGGCGCAGAGGGCGAAGCAGCTCATGCCGTGGAAGACGAGCCTCGGGATGCCGAGGGCTTTGGCGGGGCCCGCCGTCCAGGGGAGGAACGTGTCGGAGACGAGGCAGGTGGCGTTGAGGTCGCGGAGGAGGTGCTCGAACGGATCTCGCAGGAGGGCCATGGCCTCGAAGAACTTGGCAAGGAGTTCGGGGCTCGTGATCTGGTCGAGGCCGGCGATGCTTTTGGGGAGGGAGGAGTTTTTGGGGGGGAAGTCGAGGGTCTCGAGGCCGATGTCGTGGCCGGACGAGCGGGCGCGCTCGACTGGCGGGGCGAAAGGAGGGGTGGTGATGATGGTGGCCCTTAGGCCATGGGAAGTGAAGAGCTTGGCCAAGTCAAGGGTGGGGATTATGTGGCCGTATGCCATGGCTGGGAAAAGGACAATGTGTAGCTGTCCCCCCATTCTAGTTCTAGAAGAGAGGGGAAAACAAAGGTATACCTTAGTTGAATTTGATTTGATTGGTGAGAGGGGTGATTTTGAAGCTGAAAAACTTGGTATATATGTATAAGAGAAGTTAAGAACAGAGAGAGAGAGAGACAGGGGAGATGAATAATTGTCAAAAGATGTTTTATGGACTTTTTGGCTTTTGTAAAGGAATTTTTTTAGTGGGGGGGAGACAAGAGCATTTGCGTTTAAATTTATTTAACAAAGAATGAGCTGACATAACAGCTCAAATCACAGGAAAGTGTTCTAGAATCCCTGAAGTTGCAACTTGCACACAAAGAAATAGATTATAGATTAAACATTTTCAGATTATATATACTCATTCCTATAATTAGTAATTATTGTATTGCCATATTTATTAATTAGTTTTAACTATATTATTTTTGTAAAGTACTCTTTAGACATTATTTTTTTATAACATTTTGTGTTTGATCTTACGATACAATGTATAAGGTATGTAAAAGAAATTAAAGAATATATATATGGAATAGAATTAGCATGCAATCGTTTTTGCTATGAAGCCAACATATTTGCTGATTACTTAAATAATATTAATATATTGGGTTTACTTATTGTATATAGAAGGTTAGCTCCCCACTATTGGGCCAACGGTTGGCTTCATAGCAAAACCGAGCATGCAAGTATACAATATCAATTGTAATCAGTAAGATTAGGTGTAGGATTGTAATATAATTTTCTTTTAATAAAAATTTGCATATGGATAATGTAATATGTAAAATAATTCGATTCTATAAAGCATTTTAAATTATGTC